AGATATATTTATATAGTTGATTTGAGCAATTAGAAATGGCAAATAAAAATTTAGAAAGTAAAGGACCTATTCACAAGAAGTGTCCTTGTCTGATATTTTGGAGTGTAGTAAAAAAAAAGAAAAAAGATCCAAATCCATGATACACCAACTGGTCAACTGGTCGTCCCTTTGTAAGTTAAAATAATGGGTAAACTGTCTCTGACATAAAAAAACTATAATCAGAAAAACCAATGAAAATAATTAATGAAAAGACAGCTGATTGGGATAATTAAGGAAAACAACTATAAATCTAGGGCTTTTCTTTGGTATACGGACGCCTCAAAAATGGGAAAGGTTATGGGGATTGTAAGGTACTTTGTGCACTACATGGCCTTAGGTCTACATCCATGTTTAAAGTGAAATTCTAGCCATAAAAACATGTTCACAATATTTATTATTATTTCACATTATTTCATATGCCAGGCAGCTGAAAAGGATCTCCAAACTTACGAGATTATCAGAGTATCACAAGCAAAGGAAGCAGGCATACTAGCTAAAAAAGGAGACTCGATACCACTCATAGGGCCAAATCCATTTTCTGGACTATTTTACAGCGACAATGTGTGACCATGTTATTCTGTATTGATTATACCAGTGACTGATGTGGAGAACAATAGTTTGAAACCCCTTCATTTTAAATCTATCACTTACATATCTGATGTGACCCAGAAAATCAAGGGTTTGTTCAAATGTAAAATTGGGGACTTGGGAATTGCATACAAATATAAAAACAATTTAAATATTCTGCATGAAAGCAAATGAACCAGTGGGCTCACAATGCAATGTGGTTCATTGGGTATCATGTGGGGGTTGTAATATGCAGTATGTGGGACAAACCACACAAATGTTATCAGCACGGATGAACTAACATAGGTTGGGTTGTGAGAACAGAAAAAGAATTTCTGGGCTCATAATCCATGCACAGAGTGGTCATTTTTTTCAAGTTTGATTAACCAAAGGTCTTGGCGAGGGAGCCAAACTTGGAAAGGAGACAACTGGCAGAAAAGGTTATATCAGTGTTACCCCAAGTACCTGCAATGTGCAAACGGATAGATTGAGCTCCATTTCGGTTTATGATGGTCTCCTAAACACATTCAGGGTTTTAAATAAAAAGCGGGAACAGAGAGTGCAGCCCTTGAGGCAAAATTTGTAAACTAGCCGCTTTGCCTTTAAACGAGTCCGTAGATCACTTGTAACGGAAAAGCCACCTGAGCCGCATGTCTCTCCCTTGTGTTAGAATTTAGCACTTGTATGTTTGAGTTAACTATATGTAGTACAATTTAAAAATTCTAAACTAATCTTGTGATATTCCAATGTATCTAAGAGACGTGTACTTATAGTTATGTGTAACCGAGGTAACCTATAGGACTACGTTTGTGGTTTTAAATAATTTTTAAATTTTTATAATATATTGTTGTATTGTTCTTAATTAACTTTACACTGTTCATTGTTTTAGATACTGAGCTTCACCTAATTTTAATTATTCTTATTATATATGCAATTTCTTGTTCTCCAGATATATTTAAACACGCATCTAGTTAAATAAGATAAATAATTGTTTTTTGAATTTTGTTTTTTAAATTATATAAATGTTTCTAACTGCGATATTTTGCAAAAATAAATAGGCCTTGATGATGACGATATAATCGTCGAAAGCTCGGCAACTACTTAAAGAGTTGTCGTTTCTGTTGTGACCTCACTGAAGATCCTTTTTTTCAAGTTGTTCAGCAAGCAGGTCGATACATCATTTCATCTTTAATTATAGATTATTTCTAGAAGATATCAATTGATTGAACATATTTTATGCAACTTTTGCAACAGCTATAAAAACGTTTAAGGTACCTGGGAAAACCATTCTTGAGCTATACAGTTCATGATATCATTACCATGACAATAATTCTTTATTAAAGATACGAAAATTTTTGAGGAAATCAATTAAAAAAGATCGGTAAAATTGACGATAGTTTACGAGTTAAATGGATAAATTCCTACGCCTTGTTATGAAGTGGGAAAAAATACGTATTGATGATGAATAAGTTCGCTGCATTACAAAACGAAGGAAATTAGAATGATCAAAGATGACGGCACATATTACTAAATGAACTATCGTAGACATTCTTTAAAATGTGTATTTCATGCAGACACGTTTTGTCCCTTTGTCCTCGAAAAAATGTACCAATTGGTCCATCAGCTGGACAAACCCGTGGTACCAAGGACACGTTCTATACGGGAACATATGATAGTTGATGTTAAAGAGGATGCTGAGGTAAATTCGAATGGTTCGGTAAGAATATCTGAATTATTCGAAATAGAAAGGATTTGACATGTTTTCGAGATATATTATTAAATTCACCCAATACAATGAAGGGCCAAGGATAAATTTCTATGTGTTTCTGTAATCTGCCAGGCCTTGAATCAAAACATTAATATTTGTCTCGGCATGTAATTAGCACAAATTTTCGGCCAACATCTAAATGAAAGACTGACAAAAACAAGGCATTTAATCCTATAAAAATAAGAGGAAAGATATATAATTTTGGCTAACTTTTTTAACTTATGAATAGGTGATCAGGTTCTGCTTCAGGTCGGTAGCGCTTTGTGTGTATGTCAAAAAGGACTGTATTCAATATTTGTCGAGTTGATTATACAAACAAATTACCGTGGAAGTTTGCCCCTCGAAATTTGCATTTCTGACAATTCCAACTTCGGAGTCGGGTTAGCAATTTGCTTGATTGTTTATTAATTGGCGTCTGTTTTATTGTGAAACTACGCTGAAGATTAATTGGAGAGGTAGCGTAAAAAGGTGATACTATGTCAAAAAGCCGGCCACCTTGTGAACACCGGAGTGTTGTTCAACATTGGCAAATGTTTGCCGAGTTGTTTAAGCCACGTTTCGACAGGATCAAACGTTATTAGTAACCAAAGACGGATAAATATTGGTTCTGAAATGTCAAAGCGGTTCACCTACGCTAAAAGGTCCGAAAACGGGAAACGAAATCTGTCATTGTCCAAGTAAAATTTTATATTATACTCATTATATTAAGTGATCTATTGACCAAATTACTTCTTTCAATTAATTAATCTTTTTATGTAAGGTTTTTGGTTGAAATGAAAAAGTTAGCGTCACGAGAAGGACTCGAACCCACGACCTTCGGCTAGATACGCCGCTGCTCTACCACTTGAGCTGACGTGATTGCGATCCACTCGAAAATCAACTTCCCATCAAAACCCACCGTTCGAATTTTCCCTCCTTTTTGCCATTTTTCAAATGTGTAATTTATGCGATTCTCGGCGACAAATGAAATGGCCACGGAGAGCTTTAGTGAAGAATACTGTTCATTTAAATTCATTAAATTCACTAGTTTCGTGGTCCGCTTGACCAATTAATATATTACAATTAATTAAGGTTTTTAGTTGAGATAAAAAAGTCAATGGCACGAGCGGGATTCGAACCCACGACCTTTGGCTAGATACGCCGCTGCTCTGCCACTTGAGCTATCGTGACCTCGATCCACTCGGACACTAACTTCCCATCTCAACCCCGCCTTTTGAATTTTCCCTCCTTTTTGCCCTTTTTCAAATGTCGTGTAATCGGATTTGATTCTCGGCGACAAATGAAATGGCCACGGAGATATTTAGTGAAGTATACTCTTCATTTAAATTCATTAAAGTCACTAATTTCGTGGTCCGTTTGACCAATTAATATATTACACTTAATTAAGGGTTTTAGTTGAGATAAAAAAGTCAACTAAAAACCTTAATTAATTGTAATATATTAATTGGTCAAGCGGAACACGAAATTAGTGAACTTCGTTTTACTTATTAAATCCATTATATTTAGTGGTCTATTGGCCAAATTACTTCTTTCAATTAATTAACTTAAGGTCTTGGTAGAGATAAAAAGTCAGTGTCACAAGCAGGATTCGAACCCACGACCTTCGGCTAAATACGCAGCTGCTCTAACACTTGAGCTATCGTGACTTCCATCCACACGGACACCAACTCCCCCATCTCAACCTTACGTTATTCAATAATTTATTAAAAATCGATCGGAAGTTAATCAGAAAGTACGTGAAATTCTGAGTCGTAAACAACCTCATTGACATCGAATAGGTATTGTGAAGATAAAAAAATGGTACCATGGGCCTCGATCAATTACCCATTGAAATAAATACAATCGAAATCCATGCCAACTCCAAAGACAGACTTGGGCAATAATTCCAGTATATTGTCGAGCAGTGTGCTAAGTTGCCGCATTCTGCTATGTGATCGTCTAGACCGGCCATGTACGTTCGTAAATTATCTTTCACTGCCTAGTTTCCTCAGTTTTTAAAATATTTTCGTACATAATATTAAATAATGATAAAAAACCATGCTACATCAGCCACATTAATAAACTTGTGACAATATTTCTTTTTTAAGTTTTATTTTCTACGCTTTTGGATTTTCATATTAGTCAAGAATATTTTGTATATATATTTGTCGGAGATGAAGAGAGTGCGAAAGAAATTCCAGGGGCTACGGTGGGAATCGAACCCACGACCGCGGTTTCTACGAGGCGTGAGTCCGTCACGCTTACTACTTTTCTAGCGGGCCATTTTTCTACAAGTTGAAATATTTGTTAACAATACAAAAATAAAAATATGTTTCGAATATTGAAACGTAAATCTAATTCTCTTATGTGACAATCGACCTTATCGCCAGATAATGAAAGGAGACCATGTACTTAATCCGACTCAAGCGGTTTATAAGGTATTAATGTGAAAATCCGAATTGAAAAGATTCCAATTACGACTTTACCGAACCCAGGGAAAATTTGCCATGTCGAACACAACTTTATAAAGGAGAAAAATACGAAACTTCTTTTTTCTAAGAGGGGAGAGGGAAACGTTTTGCTCTTTGTCAGCTCGTTCTACCACTTTTGTCCCGTCAAGCTGAAAATTGCATTGTGTTCAACTTACCTTGAAACCGTTAATGAACCAGGCCAGACTGGGAGCCGGGTTCGATTTGCCGGAAGTGCAATTTCCGGTGACATAGTCTCCCACTGAATAAATATCCATTACGCCTGAAATCTGGGGCGGCCTGTCCGGATAAGCTGAAAAAAAATGGAGAAATCATTAACACAATTGAAGGGGAAAACTTTACAAATTGTCTAGGGAAAGTTATTTTTTTATAATGTAACACAAACAATTTTTCTGGCAAACAAATATGTGGTTAAAGTTCGTTTATTGACTAGCTTCCTTTTAATCGATCGACGTCATTCTATTGTTTTAGTTCTCTCATTCATTCGTTTTGCGACAAACTTAGTTTCTTACACATATTTATTTCTGCATGTTAATACAATAAAATATTTAGTGGCTCACATCTATACAATTTGAATACCTGAATAAATGAATTGCCATTAAAACATGACTAACAGACTGGATTACTAATTCATAATTGTTCTTCCTTCATTGACTAACCGACTCGATTGTTCATTCCACTGTCATTTATTCATTGACTAACTAACACGACCACTAATTCTTTTCTAACTACAAACCATTTTGTGAGATAATAGACTCACTCAGTTACTTTATTTTTTAATGTGTTGTGATTAGTGACCGTTAATCGATAATTATTCAGAAATCCTGAGATGCTGTCTGGTATGATATAGGTTTTAGAAAAACATTTTCTTTATCATGCCAACGTTTCGATCTTTATTGAGATCATCTTCAGGGCTTAGGATTTATAAACATTGTTTAAATTTTACCAATATATGTAGGATGTGAAAATTTTAGATTTAAAAAATGAATTTATGCAATGCCAGAAAATTTTAGATTTAAAAAATGAATTTATGCAATACTAGAAAATTTTAGATAAAAAAAAGAATTTATACAATGCTAGAAAAAAAAATGAATTTATACAAATTCATTTTTTTAATCTAAAATATTCTAGCATTGTATAAATTCATTTTTTCCACATCCTACATGTGTTTGTAAAATTTAGACAATGTTCATACTGTGTGGTGATTAGTGACCGTTAATCGATATTTATTGAGAAATCGTGAGATGCGGTCTGGTGTGATGTAGGTTTCAGAAAAATATTTTCTTTATCGTGCCAACGTTTCGATCATTATTGAGACCATCTTCAGGGCTCAAAGTGTTTGTCATCTGTGTAATTGTGGCATTCTTGCGTGTCCTGTCGAGAGTGCCCACGACACACAATACTGGCACAATTACACAGAAGACAAACACTTTGAACCCTGAAGATGATCTCAATAATGATCGAAACGTTGGCACGATAAAGAAAATGTTTGTCTGAAACCTACATCACACCAGGCCGCATCTCACGATTTCTAAATACATGTTCATAATTCCCAAGCTCTGAAGATGATCTCAATAAAGATCGAAACGTTGGCATGATAAAGAAAATGTTATTCTAAAACCTACGTCACACCAGACCGCACCTCACGAGCTCCGTAATTAAATATAAATTAATTATCATGTTATTTATTCTATAAATTAACGAGTAATCTGTGCAGGTAGTCTATAGATGAATCTCAATTAATAACCAAATTTGTAATTTAGCCAGTCTGTAAAACAACGACTTAGTGCTCAATGAGTTTGTTAATAAGAATTGTAAATAAGAAGAATTACGTGAATTAGAGTTTTTTTAAATGAATATAGACGATTGAGTTTGTTAGCCAATGGGAGAGTCACTTAAAAAACAAAGTAACTGATGATTTCAACAAAGATCGAAACGGTGACACGTTAAAGAAAATGTTTTTCTCAAACCTATATCTCACCAAACCGCATCTCACAATTTCCAAAGAATCAACATATTATTATTATAATTTTTTTTTAATAAGACACACATTCATCAAAAATCTGGCTCAGTAGCTAATTCATACATAGCGAATAGACTCGAAAATTAATATTTGACTTCTTTAAGTCTTTCCTTCATGAATGACGTATGTAATTGAGATAATATTTTAATAATCAACTGGCTGGGTAAATTACGTTTTATTGTGAAAAAATGAATTTATAATGATTAAAAAGAAAGAATTTATACAATGCTAAAAAATTTTAGGATAAAAAAATGAACTTATACAATGCTGGAAAATTTTAGACTCAATTAAAGTGAGAACATATACTTTGATCGAATCTAAAATTTTCTAGCATTGTATAAATTCATTTTTTTATGTAAAATTTTCTAGCATTGTATAGATTCATTTTTTTATCTAAAATTTTCTAGCATTGTATAAATTCATTTTTTTCACAGCCTACATGTATTTGTAAAATGTATACAATGTTTATAAATCCCAAGCACTGAAGATGATCTCAATAAAAATCGAAACGTTGGCACGATAAAGAAAATGTTTTTCTAAAACCTACGTCACACCAGACCGCACTTCACGACCTCCAAATAATCAAATTATTTTTTTTTTAAACACACATTCATCAAATATCCGACTCTGTAGGTCATTCATACAAGGCTAATTGACTCGAAAGTTAATATTTGTCTTCATTAGTCTTCATAACAGATTTAGTAAGTCATTGTGATACGATTTTAATAATTAACAGGCTGGGTAAATTCGTTTTATTGTAATTTATTATGCATCAACTCAAAAATGTTTTAAGTTGAGGAGCTAGTTTGTGTAGATTAAAGTTGTTCGCGTTCCATTTAAACAGAAAGAAATTTATATTTAGAATTGTTATTCAAACCCTCAATTAATGTCTTTTGAAAATACGATAGAAAAACAAATTTCCTTTCTTCCGAGCAGACCCGGGCTGCTGATGGAAACCTTATATTATTCACATTATTCATTTCCCGGGATATCCCGTGGTATATTTTAAATTTTTTTAAGGGTGAGTCGTTACTTATTTAGTATTCCATTAACTATCAAGGCTTTGTTTTAGACGGACGGCTACACACAATACTTTCTGACAATCTTTTAAACTCATCCTGTCTTTCATTTCAACTAATCTTTTTTCCAATTTTTTCCTTTGGAATATTAAAATCCAGATGGCTGGCGTCAAACATTTAACCTCTGTGACCGGGGCGATTCATTTGTATTTCACAATGAATACTTTTTGTTCTAATTACTCTTTTGTAACATGTCTATTCCGACCCTGGTTTTTTTTTGGGGGGGAAGGTCGATTTTCCATAAAACGGGGCCAACTTTTTTAATTCCATCACTTTGAACTCGGCTACTTGAGCAAATGCCATTCAATAGGATGGAGTACTTTAAATTCCGAACCGCGCCTTTTACCGAACAGAATTTCCCCCATACTACCACACTTTTCTTCCGAGAAAATGAATCGGTGAAGGGGGATAGGAAATTAATATTTCCAAACTTTTAAGTTCGTGTCCGTTCAAATGGGGTTTCCTTAATAACACACGCTAAACACTATTGATACTTGTTTTTCCTTAAAAAAAATAAATAAACGCTGTAAAAATGACACAAAGAATGAGGTTTGTACGATGAAAAGGATTTAAAATAGGCGGTATAAACAATTTTTTGGCCTGCTTCAAATAATAAAATACATGTATGCGTCCGCAAGTGCGCGAGTTTTTGTGTTTTTTCGAATTCCCCGGTATTCGTTTCAAGCGAGGTCTGATGTATAATTCAATCTCTTGTCTTCTTTTTTTCTCTCCAATGTCTGTTTGATGTTTTTATTTATTTTTTCAGGCAATATATAGTTACCATGGGAGACAAATTTGTGGAGACAAGGCCAATGTGACAGACAAACGCGATATTATTAATCATTTGATGGTTTTACAGGATAAAGTACTAGATTACCATAAACATTCCCAATAGTGAAATAACATGAGCAACCTAGGACCTTTGACTTTCTCAAAGGGAAACTTTGACGTTCAATACATTTTCAATTAAAATCAGCAAGATATTTACGTTTTTACAATATATGCTGAATAGCGAGCAAAAATAATGACCACATTTTCTCAGATCGCATGAACGCGTTGGAAAGGTTACTACAATATATTTCAACGCTAAAAAACCTGAAAAATTTTTTCTAAATAAAAGGGTGCATCGAAGCTTTCGATAGATTGGCAACTAAGAACTACAAACCAAAATCTTCCCAAAACGCCTTAGTACTACTATATGACGTGGAGGTCCACTTTCATAAAAAAAGGCCATCGCAAAGAATGGTCGCACTGGATGGAAAATTATGGATTGATAAAATTTCCGTTTCCTTACTAACAAATCGTGGTGTTTAATTGGATAACCATAAAGAGTGGATAATAAATCTTAAATAAATCATCGCAAAGAGAAAGAGCTTCATTAAAATTCAGCTCTGGACAAATCATAGAATATGGTGTTTCAACAAGAAAAAGATTGTCCAAAGACCGATCTCTGATGACCAAGATATCTGATGAAGTGTGTCAAAACGGTTTCGGTCATTATTCGGCTTTTCTGGCAAAATATTTGAGATCGTGGTCTTATTGTATTTTATATCCAACTTCTATCTATTCTTTTCTTTTAATTAAATCGTAGTACTTTTCCGTAATGACTCCTGCAGCACTCAAATAACAGTAAATGGTCATATTTCTTCCTCCATATTTCACAGTCACTTTTATTTTTCAAAATCTAAGTAGTCCATTAATGTTTAGTGGTCCAATTGACTAAATAACTTATTTAAATTAATTATTCTTTTTATCTAAGGTCTTGGTTGAGGTGAAAAACACACTTCACTAACAGCCCCCATTTCATGTCGCTGAGAATCGAATCCTGATTACACGGCAATTGAAAAATCGCAAAAAGAGGTAAAATTGAAAGGTTTGTAGGTTGTGATGTAGAGTTGGCGCCCGAGTGGATAGAATTCAAGCTCGCTCAAGTGGTTAGAGCAGCGGCATATTGAACCGAAGGTCGTGGGTTCGAATCCCGCTCGTGACGCTATTTTTTCATCTCAACCGAGACTTTACATAAAAAAGTTGTTGCTTGAATCTAATTACTGATTCGGTTTTCTGAAGATAAATCGGTATTCATCAGAGCTAGGAATATTAAGTTTACATTTATTGGAAAGTATTATATTTTTTTCAACATTTAAGAAACTTGTGTGTAGTGATTAGTGACCGTGAATCGATATTTATTAAGAAATCGTTAGATGCGGTCTGG